AAATATGAACGAAACTGCGCGGTAGTTGTGTGTTCGTTCTCTTGTAATAAATCGGCTTTTAAATTGCCAGATCATAATGAGAAGCAAAGAAGGTAAGATTCGGACAGTGTGTCTCTCTGCCAAGTGGCAAAATAACAAATGTTTAAGGTTTTTTAGGGTTGTAAAAAGAATTCCGCGATAATATGAACGACACTGCTGTCTTATGTTAGTGGCTTTAACGTTTGTATACATGCTAGTCACGTAGTAGTCTTCCATTGTAAGAGTCCCTGAGTTAATCATATAGTGCGCGTACGTGACATCTTTTCTCTTACTCGGATTTTCCATTGGACCAATATTTTCTTGCACAATGACAGTAGTATATTTGCAAAAATAATAATAATAATAATATAAGTATATTCATTTATGAAGCTCAAACTGTAATTGTAGCTGAAACTCAGAAAGATGTTGTACTTTCGCTCCAGAGTAGAACAATGTCATGCAGAGAAGTCATGAGTGGGAAAATTTTAACTGGGGATATCATATGATTAAACACCAAACTCCTGAACAAGCATTAGAAATATTAAAAGCACACAATGGGGAGAATTAGAATGTAGATCTTAATTAGAAAGAAATAAGAAACAAAGAAAATAGAGAATAGGGTCTTAAACACCATGCGACAAGTAAAAAAATTATGTCTTCCTGAATCGACCTCCATTATCGAATCGACCTCCAGAATCGACCTCCATTATTGAATTGACCTCCAGAGTTCTCTGTAAAGAGCTGTTTGCAATAAATAAATTTCCTTCCAGTTTTTGCAATCAGACATCTTAACACTGCTTACTAAGGCCAACGTTCATTATCGCTAAATATGCGATAATTTTGACCGCAGTTTTTCAGCTAAACTTGGTTTGCATAACCGATCAAATGTGTTTCTTTAAACATTTCACGTTGAACGTAAAGGTGTTTAGCCGAACTGCATCATTCAACGAACGGAAGGGCCACGAAGTATTATCACTTACGTAAGAGAATAATGGAATAAATAGTAATTACACAAAGGTTGTGAAAGCGGAATTCAAGTATTCTTTCGGGTATTATGAGAAGTTCGGGTAACTCAAACACTTGCAGTAAAAACCCTCCAAAGTTAGACTCAACAAAATCTTCATTTCGAAGACATTTCATAGGCATCACAACCTCCTGAGTCAGTGATACGTGAATCAGTGCGGAGGGTACTTCAGAAAATCCTGCCACTTTCCTTTTTTCCGCCATTCAATGGAAGAAACACATAAATCTTCAGTTCTACCTGCATCTTGTCAAACGATTTGTCAAATTGCTTCGGAAAACGTCGTGAAACTGTTTAAAGAGAACTATTAATGAAACGTGTACATCCTGTCTGCGTGGATTCACTAACTATTTTTACGTAACAATAGATGTAAGCGGAAATATAAGATCTCGACGCCACCAGAAACCACGCATTTCTTACTAAACTATCTCCCACTTAGATTCTTTGAGGATCTACCTTTCCTCTGAAAAATTAACTTTTGCGTATAAAGTGAAAAAACCGAGTGTAAATATTGCCTTTTCACGAGCTGCGAATGATACAAAAAAAATCAATTCACATTTAAATGCAAAAATCCTGATATTCACGGTCACAGGTCAAAAGTATTACGATGTAAATGATGTTTAGCAATAAAATGAATTGCGTGGGTTTGCCTGTTTTCCAGTTTGAAGTGACAAGAGGAACAGGAGAAAGTGAAAATGAGGAGTTAAATTAAAAAAAAAAAAATTGGAGAGAAAACAAAAACACGTGCACTAAAATGCATAGTCGTGAAACAAATTAGACAGAAAGAATGAAAGAAAACCCGTGGTTAAGTGCCGACACTGACAACTTGCCAGCAGGGACGATGTCACTGTTGGAAGGCATGAGATATAACGGGGAACAAAATGGATCGAGATGGACCCTACATAGGTTAGGCCCTAACTACTCAGCGTGAAATTGAAGATGTACTAATACTTTCGATTGTTTTGGGTGTGATCAGTGCTAAGAGGGAAAAAAAAATGCATGAAATCTCTTGATAACATCTTTAGTGGACCTCGTCAGTTGTTTCACTTGAATTCTGAAAAGAACATAATTTAAACAAATGGAAGTGACGAAGCTTAACGGTGTGAAAGAGTGAAAGAGAATTGAGTTCTCGGCAAATCGATTGTCACGCAATGTCACGCAATGTCACGCAATGTCACGCTATGTGACTCGCCAAATGGCACCGAGACTACCAACGCATAACCTAAAGAAGTGCAACTTGCTATCCTACTTAGGCACAGGTTACTGTCTGGCAGGTACATATCAATTTTCAGAGAAGATAGCTATGCTCAGAGATTAATGAGATTAGAGTTTGTAATAGCTGATAGGAGGAGACGTTTCTTGGTTAACTTTGGCTTGCGTTTAGTCTCTGTTTTACATCAATATGTGGACGTTAAATTTACACCACTGTTAGGTTATGTACAAGGTGACTTATATTCACTAGTTATAGTTCTCACTAGAGCTGCCCCCGCCCTACAGTACCATTTTCTATTGTTTTTCTTTTTGAGTTGGGCTTGTTGTTTACAGTTGTGTAATTTTTCTGTTATGTTGTTACGGAATTGCGGCTCAGTACTTTGGTTTTAATAATTTTGGATCTCAAAATACTACAAGTGTACAAAATGTAGTTTTGGGAAGTGCTTGGGATGTTTTTTTTTTGCTGTGTGGTTCAACTTAGGATTTGTTTGTTCTTCACGATCAAGAAGAAGCAGAATGTAGGGACTTGGGTGAGTTTTGACATTGGAATGTTATAGGTGGCAGACTTGCCTCTGACAAATCCAGAAATTGCCGAGTCTTTCGGCTTTGTGCAATAAGCTTGATTTGCAGCTGACAAATCGGAGTTAACTGAGTCTTTCGGTCAAAATGCTAAACTTACACCGTCTTCTGAGCATCGGTGAAATTATTTCTGTATTAACTTCTGTATAACACAAATGAAACTCTATAACTCTGAGAATAATCCAACATCAAAGCAAACGAGTTAGAAGCTCAACTTTTTCATGTATTTGATATCAGGTTATACTTTAATTATGCTGCAAGTTCTTTGCTTTAAGTTCTCACGTTAGCTGACTGAGCTGTGGACCCTCCGCCGCCTTCGATCGAGACTTCACAGAACTGTTTCTCTTTTGACGGATTTTGATCACCTTTTAAACTCAAAAATACCTTTAATTGTTAGAAAGATGCTATACAC